CCTGTAAGCGTAAACTCCGAGCACACGACGCCCTCTCCTTCCGCGACGCCTTTGCTCGACGACACATTGCCTAATAATGAGCAAGGTTGGGAAGGAGGACCCGGAGATAACCAGTACTGGACACAGGAGTAGGAAGATAGAAGGGTGGGTGTGATAGGAATGGGTGGGTGTAGATCTTGAAAGACGGAATACAGCGAGGGAGTGGAATGAAAGATAGAATGGCCACTAGGACGACAACGATACTGTAAGAAAACCACTTAAGAAAGCATGAATCGACCGGAAGCAGAGGGGGATGGAAAAAAACGGCGCTACAGTGGGAATGATAATTAGGCGATATGGAATGAGGCAGTCACTCTCCTCCGAAAAGTTGGAGAGAAACTTGAAAGAAACAGCGTCCGTTACAGCAAATGGAAGCAGTGAGCATGGCAGCCCGGGCAGAGCGGCAAGTCGAAGTCGACAAGAAGAGGACGAAGCTTGAGGTAATTCTTCGTAGAACGATGATGCCCGATTTGAAAATGAGCTGGCAACCTATATGCTACTCTCGCAATTGACGTGCCGCTGTCAGACTTTCCTTTCTGTCGACAGCGACGTCGCGAAAGCACATAGATAGTGTTTCCGTAATCCAGGACTCCCGGATTATGGACAACCGAATGAATCTTCAACCGCAAATGAACTCAAACCGCCCGAAAGATGATGCCACACTGAGTAAACTGATGGCGACGCGCCAATTGGTACCCAGATTACCAGATATCATCGCGTCCGCGACGCTGCTGGTTGACAGCTTGCTGGCGAGTCTGAGAGCGCAACCTATTGACAAACGTTATTGATAAATGAACCCAAAAAAGGCTCAGCGATCGACTCACATCCTGTCGCTCTGGCGGTTATCTCCACCATCGTCCTCCTGAACGACCTTCCTGCGTCCAGAGGGCTTGCCGCTCGATCCGGCCCCTCCGTCGTCCTGGCCAGACCTCTGCACGCTCCAGTCGAAGACATAGTCGTACTGGTAGCCTTCACGGACGAAGAGGTCGCGGAAGAGCTTTCGCAAGTAAGAGTAATCGGGCTTGTCATCGAAACGCAAAGCCCGGCAGTAGTTGAGGAAGATTCCGAATTCGTTAGGGAATCCACGGCAGAGGAGATCGGTTGGCGTCGTCATCTTCTTCTCCATGATGCGGTCGTATTTCTGTTTCTTAGTCGCAGCCTTCAATCCCTGCCATGGGAGAGCGCCACGAAGGAAGTACATCAGGACGTAAGCGAGCGACTCGAGATCGTCACGACGAGCTTGTTCGACACCCAAGTGCGTGTTGATGGAAGTATACCTCGCCGTTCCGGTCAAGTTCTTGTTCTCCCTGTACGGGATGTGAAGGTGAGTCTTCGGGTCCCTGAACTTCTTAGCCAGTCCGAAGTCGATGACGTTGACTTGGTTGCCACGTTTTCCAATGCCCATCAAGAAGTTGTCAGGCTTGATGTCCCGATGAATGAAGTTGCGAGAGTGGATGTACTCGACGCGGGAGATCTTGGTAAGAAATACAGTCAACAATCTGAAAACTGGTAGAAAGAATGCGAGTTACCAATTGATCTGCGAGCAACAAGACGGTCTTCAGGCTGAACTTGCGGTTGCAGAAATTGAACAGGTCCTCAAGACTGGGACCAAGGAGATCGAGGACCATCGCATTATAGTCGCATTCCGTACCGAACCATCTTACGAACGGAATACCGACGCCACCAGCCAAAGTCTTGTAGACCTTCGACTCATACTCGAGCTGCGGATGCTTCGCCTTCACAGACTCCAACTTGATGGCGACCTCCTCGCCAGAGATGATGTTGATTCCAAGGTAGATATCACCTAAAATCGAATAAAAGTAAGGGAGTATTTCCCCAAGAAATGTCATAGTGGCGCACCAAAGGAACCAGACCCAATCTTCTTCCCAAGGCGATACTTTCCTCCTACTCGCAAATCCATTCGGGGAGCTGATGATTCGGCCGTGATTGCGGATTATAGGGGGGCTATATGAGAGAAAGAGGGTGGTATTGTCAGCGAATGCTTTTGAACAAGGATCGAACGATGGTGGTGGTGAGAGCGGGAAGAGAAGCGCTGCGAGCGGGTACAAGGGGTGGCTGACAGGCGAGGGCGTTCGCGCTGCGAGATGAGGCCCTTATATACGAGAATCCGAAGGCACAGGCAGGACAACGGTCACGAAGAGGGATATAGCGGTGTCGGGGCCAGGGATAGACGATGGTCGCCTTTGGTGTCTCTCTGCCCCTAAGCAACGCAACTCGTGGACAACGCCTTTCGCTCTCGAACCCGCCACAGAAGTGAGACAAGGTGCCTGGACACTCACTGGGGCTTCGTGTGTTTTCGCGACGGACCTGGAGTATATGCGCAGGCGATGGTGGAGGGACGAGGAGGAGACGGGGAACAAGGGGCAGCGGAGGAAGGGCAGGAGGCTTGTGGGTGGGAACCTTTATTTGTGCAAGGCCAGCGCACTGTGACCACATCGAGAGTGTAATCGTGGGAACTTTCCTGCAATCGTGTCGCCAATCTCTTTTGTTGGGCGAACCCGGACGCTCTTCTTTTTCGCTCAACGTCCCAGCAACGCCTTTCTCAACAGGAACCGTCCGCAGAAGCTGTTCACGCCCTTTCTATTTTGTTGTCGAACAACGAGCGGCTCAGCGTCTTCCAAGGCGACCGTCGAGCGCATCCAAAGCCCTCTCGCGCGTCGGGAACTGTGCCCCTTCTGTCTGCCGATGTTCTCTGCCTGATGCCTCAAGGCCTCGTCCATCCGCGCTCGACGTCGAGGGCGTGGATCAGACTATCTCAAGCTCAAGCACAAGCACCTGTCGCTCCGGATCAGATTCGCCGAACTTTTTCGTGCTAAACCCCGCTATATGCTTATGGGACAGAAGAAGACCTCCCCCGACTGCCTCCTCTGACTTCTGTGGGACCATGAATTCACCGAAACGGCGAGTCGCCCTCAAGCACGTTGTTTTCATCATTCACCGGGTCTACTGATCGCGATAGGTCGCTCCAACATTCACAGCTATGGCCTTGTGAAAGCTTCGCCTTCAGACTCTCGGTACCCGGTGCTAATCTCCCGGTCGTACGAGGAGTGATACTCCTGCTCTGCTGCGCTCGAATGGGCTCATAACGCATCAGGCCGGTGTCCCCTCGTCCGTTTGGACTCGTCGTTGGGGCACTCTTCCCAAGGCCCCCATGCTTTCAATGACAAAGTATATTTGATGACCGCGGAACTGGGAGCACACTGGGAGCACAGGATTACGGTCGACTCAATACTAAAGTGCTGCGATTTACCCATGTGTCTACTCGTTCGGCCGTGTGCGGTCGCAGTTGCTGCTGTCTACGACTCATCTTTGGCAGTTTCGTCGGAGATCACTCAGATATATATCTAGGAGTCACTCTCCGCTGGAAGAACTACGAGTGTTTGCCACCAAAAAGAGACTCCGACAACATCCCGTTCTCGTATGGAATCCCAATGCCTGAAGTCGGCTTGGAGACACCACTGGAGCCTTCCAAACCTCTTATCGCACCTCTTCAAACGTGCTGGGGCCCTTCCCTTGGGTGTCTTCGAAATTCATTTCATAACTTGACTTCACAGCTGTGCTTCATGATTCAGATGGCACCTGCCAGTTTTACAAAGAGCCTCACACTTTGGGGGGCACTCAACTTCACATGTGAGTTTCCGGAATCGTCTCGTGACCAGCCAATCTGTTGAATTACTGCTGTGTACAGTCTATTACGTGCTCTAGAAATTCATTGCGGAAATTTCGATTCGGGGGCGAACAGTAGAAAGTCGGGTTGACGTTCTCGGTCCTTTATGCGAATGTAAGTGGCACTTGCGAGATATCGCCCATTCGAGATCTCATTCTGTAGGATTTATACTTCGATCGATGGTGCCGTTCGACCGGCCAAGCGAACTCAACCCGTTCACTGCCTCGACTTCGGAAATACGTTGCCGCCCATTTAAATTGCTTGTGGTCTGCGGCACGCCTCTACATGTCGACCGTAAAATGACACGACTCCGAGGAACCAAATTGACAGCTTGCTTGCGTCAGAGGGACTACGTGGACTCCTGCAACGGATACACGCCGACTTCGCGTGGTGCATGGCGAATTCAATAACTCGCCGCCCTTGATTGCAGCAGGATATTCGTTTCAAGGTCTTGTGACCCGACTCCTCTACGTGACTTTGGGAGAGGTTGTCGTGCACGAACGAGGAATAATGAAAGAAGCGAGTACGAGTCTGCAAGCTTCGATGGATTACTCGTGTGTATTGCTACGCCGCTCTTCGAATATCGGGAAGTAATATGTCAACAGCTTTCTCTATATCACTTCATGGCGCCCTGACACGGCCGTAATCCTCGAGACGTCAAGACATCTTGAAATCATTATTTCGCCGCCAGTTTCGATGTTCAGTAAGTCACTCAGCCTCTACCCCCTCCCCCCCCCCTCTCTTCGACGAAGACTGATGAACCAACAGTGCGCCTCTAATTTCATGAATGCATGCCGTGCGTTTCCCTTCCCACTCTTCTCCGTAAAGAGCTTTCCATTTGATTCTCTTCCTACTCGTACGAGAAGAGCTTTCGGTGGTGCGTGAGGTTCGGTGAGTGATTCGACCAGTAACAAGGTATAGTATTGAGGTCATCGATACCACTGCTAAATTCACAGACCAGAACTGCTTCTACCAGTGCTGTATCACGCAGACAAGAGCAAATATGCGTTGGACAACATGACGAGCCTGACGCCCCATATCTCGAATCTGGGAACATACATACAGTAGTACTATATAAAGCTACTTCAAAGCACTGCGCGTCAACCCTGGATGCTCATAAAGTGCTAAATTATTGTACATGCGCTTACTCTGTAGCTTTTTGAGAAGGTTGCTTGGAACAAGATGACGATTGTTTTCAAGTGAAATGAATTTGTGAGGAAATGTTTTTGATGCAGCAAGTATATAGCTGTTACGGGAAGGATGCTGCTGAGCTGCCCGCCTAGCTCAATCGGCTAGAGCGTCAGACTTTTACGAAGCATCTGCTTCTGCGAAGTTCATCTGAAGGCTGCGAGTTCGACCCTCGCGGTGGGCTAATGTCCTTTTTTGTGTTTCATTTAAGTATATTTATTTGCTTCGTGATGTGATGTTACGCTATTTTTTTCTTACCGCAACTGCCTTCAGTCGTGATAATACTAGTGAAAGATGGAAGCGCTGTTTATTTTTCACCTGCGAAGTTGCTGACATATACTCACCGACTCGGGGTGCTGGTAGGTCGCACGTCAATCGTGACCAAAAGGCGTGAATGGCGACGTAATGATGATGACACATTGTTGTATGTTCAGCGTTTCGTGAAGCATTGCTTCGTGAAATGTGCATGAACAACACTGAAAGTAGCAAGAAGGTATCCAGGGATTTTCAGCATTTTTATCTCAATATTTTTCTTATGTAGAACTTGTAGGAAAAACATTTGCGAGGCACATCTCCTTGACGGGGATAAGCGAGTGGCGGTGCAGACCTCCGTAAGCATGAATTGCAGATCTGACTATCCCACTGCTAACGACTTCCATCTTCTTTCCATTGCGGAAGCAGCCTTTTCGACTATAAAAGCGACTAAGAATGAGCACTCTGCTGCAATCTTCCCCTCTGATCACCTCTTTCTCCTATTCTCATGTCGAAGCAAAACGTCGTCGTCCTGGGAGGCGGAGGCTCTGGTGCCCATATTGCGCGTGCTTTGTCTGCGAAGCTCGACCAAAGCCGATTCAATCTCGTGCTCGTCACCCTCGCAGACCGCTATGTGCATATGCCCGCGCTCGTGCGCTTGACGGTTGACACGCCAGACACGAAATATCTCGAGGAGAACGCGCTAATCTCGTACGACCACCTCTTCATTGGCGGAAAGGGCACTGTCAAAGTCGGAAAGGTCGTGAGCATCGACAGAGACGAGGGGCAGAGTAGTGGTGTGCTCAAGCTGGAGGATGGCGACACGGTCCCCTACGCGTTCCTCGTTGTCGCCACGGGTTCGAAGTGGGAGGGTCCGTTGAGCGAGCTAAACGTTTCCAATACGGAAGGATTTAAAGCGAGCCTCAAAGCTTGGCGAGACAAGTTCGCGAAGGCGAATGATATCGTGATTGTAGGCGCTGGTCCAGTTGGACTAGGTATGGCTATTCTCTCATGCAGCTATTAGCATATTTGATGATTTTCATTTCAGAACTCTCCGGTGAACTGCGTGACACGTATCCTTCGAAGAACATTACGATCGTCCATAACCAAGAGCTCCCGCTGAGCGACATCTATCCCGATAAATTGCGAAAGGGAATCGTCAAAGGCTGGGCAGCCCGCAATATTCAATTCGTTTTCAGCGATAGCATAGAGGGAGACCTTGCTGATGGCGCCACTACGGTGACTACTCGCAATGGCAAGACGATCACCGCGGATGTTCTCGTAAGTCACAATCTTTTTCCCAGTAGTACTTCTTAATGGAAATTGACGCAAATACTTCTTAATCACCAGGTATCAGCGCGAGGAGGAAGGCCGAACACTGAACTTCTTCAGCGTCTAGGTTCGGACGTCCTGGACGAAAACGGACGAGCAAGAATAGATCAGTACCTGCGTTTGGCGAATTTCACCAATATCTTCGTCGCTGGTGATATCACAAACTACAAGGAGGTGAAGCAGGTTGCGAAATATCCTGGTCACGTTTCTGTCATTACCAGCAACATCTTGAGCCTCACGAATGGCGGGCAGCCCAAGTCCGCGTACAAAGGGACATTCGAAGCTGTCCTCCTCTCAAATGGAAAAGTAAGCCTGTCATTCACTCTTTCGTCAAGGATTTCGCTGATATCGCATTCGCATCTCAGGCCAGCGGAATTGGCTACCTGGGTAAACTCTGGGGCCTTATGTTTGGGAAGACACTTGTTGTCATGGCGAAGAGCAAGGACTTGTTCGTAAGTAGGACGAGAGGTCTTCTGGGTGCATAGAAGATCGGAATTTCATCCTCACTCAACCTTCTTCCGGTAATTTATACTAATGTCTCGTTTGTACTCCCGATGTTGTCTTCGTACGATGTTCGCTTGTGTCTCTCCACCATGTAATATACCTCGTTATTTTGTTTCGAATGCAGGTGGCTGACGTTCTTCAGTGACTATGTGTGAGACATGCCAGCCGCTCAAATTTCTTCAAAAAGCGGGTCGTAGCTTTCCGGGGCGCTGTGGCACAATCACTGGCACTGAGCGAACGTTCGAGGCCGAAAACCATGCCAGCGCTACTTTCGAAGCGGACGACCCGCAGCTCTATCAATGTCCGGGCGAACAGCCTTCCTCTCTTCAATACCGGCGGCGCCCCCGAGCGAAAACATGACGTCTTCGACAGTCCCCCGCCCACCTCGCCGGAGGATAGCATCACCACTATCGAAATCGCATCCCCCACCACGCCGGAAGTTGAAATCAGTGTCGACCTGAATACACCGCCGATTCAAGCCATCGAAAGAGCGAACTCGAAGAAGGCGCGTCGAAAGCTTGCAGCACATCAAGTGCGGGCCCTCGAAAGCTTAGCGCGTCGGGATGACCGCCCCTCGCTGGAGAAACGCCGTCAGCTGGCGGAAGAGCTCCAATTGTAAGGAGCAAATTTTGTTTTCGTTTTATTTTTCGTTTGGCTGATAGTCCGCTCGCTACAGAGAGCTGCGCGTCGTCTCCGTCTGGTTTCAAAATAGACGCCGTCCGTCCAACACCGCGAAGCATCGAGGGATCACCGCCACTGGTGGCACTGGCACAATTGGTTTCGTCACAGCGCACTTCTCGAGGGACTCGGAGGGGCAATCGCGTCTTTCAAGTCATCGACAGCCGCTGAGGGATACGGACGTCGACATCATCAACGTCAGCCCATCTTCGCGAACTGGCGTATCAGACCTCTGGAAGCACCTTCCCTCGTCCTCACCGGTGAGGGGTTGCACGGCACCACCCTTCCAGCCTACTCCAAAGAAAGGGAGTCTGGAATGGGCTTGTTCAAAGTTCTCTCGCGCGCAGAAGCGCGTAGCGAAATCCTACAGCAAAAACAAGGTGATGGGTACGAAGAAGTCGGATACCTCCTTCGAGAACGAGAGGACCTTCGTACCACAGCCAGTGTGGGATGCGTACGGGAGGGATGCCGTTGAAGTCGCACTGGTGCTTGTCCAGATGAAATACGGAGAGGTCTGAGGATGTAGAGATCGCGGAGACGGCAATCCATTGGTAGTGCACGAACGTTCTGGGTGGACGATGATAATGAACATTACTACGTTGCAACAACAAATAATGGTTATGCAAAAAATGCGATGGGAAAGCGTAGTTGTATAGATGGTTGCAAATGAGATGGATCCAATACCGAAGATGATAAGAAATAAGGAGCGCCCTCTATACCAAAAAGTGAATTAGGATATTTGCCCCGTTTTGCGCTTCTTACCGACAACAACAGGTGAGTTGGAGTCGTGTTCTGCGGAGGCTAGGCCATTTGGTTGTCCTTTGGTGACGGGCGGGGGAGTTCCACTTAATGACCCATTCGGAGTCGCTAATAGTGAAGAACCTCTGCGAGCGACACCATTTTGTTGGAGTGCTTTATGCTTTCCGTTGGGCGTGCCGTTCGACATCGCCTTTTTGGGTGCTGGTCGCGCTGTAGGGTATAAGCTTCGAAAGCTTCAAGAGAAAACGGGAGAAACTTACATAGTGATTGGTTACGGAAAAGAGCCACTAAACCATTAAACTCGTCGTCATCGACAGTCCTTCCGGCAAATGATATGTCCGTCGGCAGAATGTACTCGTCGACGACCATTTCATCATCTAGAGCTGTGTCCGCCTCCTCCTTCGAAGGTCCAATCTCCGGTAATTTGGTAACAAAGTGGTCCATTAGAGACGAATACAGCGAGTCGATAGGAGGAGCCAAGTAGGCTGGGGCACTGAACTTGGACAAAGCTTGTTGGGCGTTGTGAGTCTCCAAAGGCATTTCCAGTGTTGTCGAGTGATCCCTCGAAGTTCCAGCGGCCAAGGCAGATGCACCAAAGACGTCCTCGAAAAGAGTTCGCTGTGAGTTTGCGGCAGCCGACTTGTCGATGCGTCGTGATTTGTACTCCGACTCTACGCGCGCATTCACTTTGTCTCCAAATAGCACAACATTCCAAGCCTCCGTCACTCCGATTAAACTCGTGTCGGAATGGTCTGGATACCAGCAACAGGTGCGTAGCCTGAAGGGCAGTGATTCCGCAGAGAGGATCTTCGCGGAAGTACATCCATAAAACCGGACCGTCGATCTCCTCTTCTCTGTAGTTTCGACAAAGGGTTGGAGTACCAGAGCGATTACATCCTGGTTGGGTTGCGGCAGCGCATGTATAACGTATGACGGCATCTGGAATGCCCATTGTACTGAAATGAATGTCAACGCAAGAATGCATGGAGAATACCTCTGATGAGTACCTGATCGAGACACCAGATCCCACATAGCAACATCTTTATTCCCGAATACCATTAAATATCGACCACTGGACCCAACGAAGCGAACACGGTTCGGTTCTTTCACTTCAGGTGCATCCAAGTTATCCAGCACAACGTTTGAATGGGGGTCGAACAATACTACATGAGGATTGAAGCAGATTGCCAATATTGAACCATCGGGAGACCAGCACGCATCGGAAGGCTTTTCGGAGTGGAACTGGAAGCGAGAGCGATTCACCCAGAAGCCTTAACGTCGTTTGCAAGAGTCAGACGTACCCTAAATCGCAGATGATGCGCAACTTACATTCATTCTCTCCTGCTTTCGTAATTACCGTCCGTATTCGCCATAATTTGATGTAACCGTCTGCACCGGCAGTCATTAGAAAAGGCTCTGTTTTCGAACCTGGAGAGAACGAGAGCGTTGTGATCGGTTCCGTCCCATGAGGCCGGTCTATGCGAGTGTTCAACACCCAGGAGTTCAACTCCCAATGCCAAAATTTGAGGTAAATCTCTGATGAGAAATCGTCTTCGTTTTCTCTTCTGTCCACGGTAGCCATCCAATTTCCTTCCGAGTCTATCACAGTCTTCTCTACCACGAAGGGCTCTATGGGCTTCTCGTCACGCTTTGAGACGC